CGGAAGGTCGAGCCGCTGTAGGTGGGTCCCGCCGCCCTCCCTGAGGGCTGAGGGGGCCGCCCCGCGTGTGGAGCAACCCCCCCCCCTCCTGCGCCTCACCACCTTCCTTGGTGCCGCCGCGCCTGCTGGGCCCTGGAAGGTTCCAGAAGCTCCGGGCAGGCGTCGAGGGGCGCCGGGGAGAGCACCCCCGGCTCCCAGTGGCTTTTTTTAAGCCGAGCTCCCTCGGGGCGGTGGGACGCCTCAGTGTCTGTCAGTGAGGCGTCGTTGTTCATCATGGCGGCGGCCCTTGGTAATGGGCTGGAGGGAGTGGGGTGTGGAGGGGACAAGCGTTGTCCTCCCAGAGGGGAAAACCTTGTGTGTGGGAAGAGTGTGGGACCCAACCGAGCGTCCGGACACTTGGGAGAGCTGGGGCGACCCGGTGTGAGGAGAGGTGGAGTGAATTTGGGGAAGGAAAAGGTTTCAGCCCAGGGAAAAGGCCGAGGTGCCCCAGGTGGTACAGACTCCCCCGAGGTGGGAAGAGGGAGGCCAAGCAGAGCCAGAAGGTGCTGGTTTCTTCCCGTGGGGAGGAGGAAGGTGTGGAAGCCCTCAGAGGTAGCTATACTGCCAGTGCCACCACAGCTGCTGATCTGGGGGTAAAGGGCAGCTGGACAAATAGAGCCCCGAGGTCTGTTTGCCAGGGATTTGTGCTAATCCCTGAAATGGACGAAAAAAAATGGCTTGCACCCAAGGAGCCCCCTTAGGAGGGAGAAAGGAGAAGTAGTAGCACGGAGTTCCTGATGCACAGTAGTGCTGTTTCTAAAGCAACTTAGGGCCTGTTACTGTTGTCCTCACGTGTATTTTTGACCACAAGAAAAGAGTCTCTTGGATTCACATTTGACCTCTTATCCTTAAACAGTCCAACTGAACTAAATAGGAATTTGGCATGGACAAATAGTACATCAGATAAATCATTGAGTGTACATGAAGACTGTTTCCCTTTAAGTGCATTTCTTGAAGGCTAGCGGTTCCTAAACTCATGACCACCACTTGTCTTACCGCTGACTCTTCGTTGGGCTGAAAATGTTCCCAACCAAGGCTTGAGCTACGTCAGTGTGAGTGTGGGGGGCCTCTGGTCCAACATGGGCCCCGGGGCTCGTGTTGATGGGCGAAGGAAGGATGGCACCCTTAGGATCCCAACAGACTGGTGATGCAGCGTTCTTGCTTTGTAGTTTTAGGGAAAAAAAAAAAGTACCGCTTTGCGATCGTGAACTTGTTCCACGGGCAGAACTGTAGAGATGCAGTTGTACTACAACAATTATGCCATTTTTATTACTCTGGATTATCACGTAGGTGATTCTGAAATAAAAGCGATTCTGGTATTGGAATAAAGTCACTTCTCTTGCCAGCAGACCCCTTGCAGAGGGTCACCACTGGCAGAATGGCAGTGGCAAAAGGATACAGCCAGAGGTCTGTGTCTCGCTCCCTGTGTAGGCAGGTGCTCATACTGTTGATATAGATTGCATACTTCTGCCCCCCATCTCCCTTACTGCAGTGGGAAACGGGAACTCAGTGGAAATAAGTGACTGTGGGGCAGATACCCTCTTGAAAAAAACACGTTTGGTGAAAATTTCTGTTGAGCAGTTGTGGCCTGGTCCTCACAGTTCCTGTCTCACTGAAGGAGAGAGGAAGCGAGGAATATAAATCTATATGATCAAAGTGATGCAGCTATTAGTAAATAACCTTTCTCCCCCCTTCAAGTGCTGCCTGCATAAATATCCATTTCTACGTATACCTGTACTAGTTCTCAGAGGAGGTGAGTTTGAGGTGTATTAATTAAACAGAGAATGATTTCCCGAAATGGGATTTAGATCAAGTTGCCAAACTGAGAGAGAGCTGACAGTTTGTGAAGGTCAGTTTCTACAAAGAAATTTTACACACATCTATGATGGAGACATTTCCCAGAAATTCTGTGGAATGTACTGTTGACCTTGTATAATATAAAGTGCTCAAAACTTCAAGCCCTGTAGTGATAGAGTGATATAAAGATGTATAAGCCAGTCTTGAAGGAGGTTGAATGTTCTTTAAAACCTCTGAATAGAAATTGCTGATTCTCGGGGTCTTGAGCAAGAAGACCTGATTTAATCTTCTGTTCCTTTCCACACTTTAAAAGTACATGACAGCTTCTTTAATAAAGTAATTTTTTTCAAGCTGGTCGATACAGGATTTTATTTATAAACCTTTTTAGTAATGCAAAGTGAAGGTCAGTATTGGTGTCTGCCAGTTCTGGGTGTCAACTTCAGGTGACTCCCAGCCTCTGATAAACAGAGATAACAGAATAGTTATGAAGTAAAAACATGTATGTAGGAAATATGGTTAATAAAAAAATCAGGTTTTTTGGCAACCTGAATTCTGTCATATGAAGCTCATTACTAGAAATGATTAAATATGGTAATGCCATAAGTGAGCTGAATAAATTCTGTTAATTTGTTCAGAGTATGTAGGATGTAGATGGAAATCTTTGGGTTACAATGCAATTATGTGTGAAAGGGTTAGAAAGTTTCAAAAAAGGAAGCTATTGCTGCTACAGTGTTTGAGTGTAGCTAGATTTTTCTTCTAGTTTTGCCTAGGAGATAAGCAGACTGTGCTTATTAATGCCATTACCTTCATTATCTATATCACGATATGTCACAGTACCTGTATCGTGTGATTTAAATGTGTCAAAATACCCACCAAAGAGTGTAAGGCTGATTGTAGCATGCACTTGAACTTATTATTTCTCAGCTTATTTTGTGTTTGTTCTCGGACAGTCATACATATTTTGTGAGGGAATTTAATTGCACCAAGAAAGAAACAGCTTGAAGGTTCAAAGTTACTGAATTCCTCAGTAGTTTGAACAGAAGAGGAAATGTGTAGTTACACGTGTAGCAGCGAGTGTCAGTTTTGGGAAATAGAGTTATCATGAGCCTGAAGATAGGAGCAGAAGCTGGGCAAAGTGATCTCATGGCATCAGGTTTGATGGAAGCAGAGGCATGGAGTTATTCCTGAACTCCCAACAGATGTTGTCTGATGGAACAACTTTAAATATTCTTGTGATTCATAGAAGAACTTCACATGCAGTCACCTCACTTTTGCAGCTAAGCCTGTGCAGTATGAGATGTCTCTTCCCAGCAGTGATACCAGGGCTAAATTCCTTCCTTCCTTCCTGCAGTGGTGGCCAATACGTGGCATGCCATGAGGAGGACTGTTGCAGTGTTGCAGCAGACAGATCAGCCCTTGCCTTGGTCTGCATCTGAGAAATGCCTGTATTTAAGATACTAGTGCAGCAAGATCACCTCTCTGCATCAGGGACACTTCACTGGGTGAAGCAGGTGGACTTCAGCTGTCGGAGAGTGGCTCTGCTTTTGTCTTAGCTGGCATTTAAGTGGAACTTCTCAAACACACTTTTGTCTTGCAATTTTTATTAAGAGAAAAGCTTTTTTTTTTTCAGAACCACTTCATTATCAGGTGAAATGAGGGTTGAATCCCTCCATATCTCATCACCATTGCACTTTTCACTGAGTCCATTTTACCATTATACTTGTTATTTCAAGCGCTCTCCCTAAACCGTGGGATGTGTTGTGAAGCCAAGGATTCTACTTTCTTTCTCAGTTTTAGGTAGTCCTGTGAGGAACAGGAAATTGGACTTGATGATCCTTATGGGTCCCTTCCAATTTGAGATATTCTATGATTCTGTGTTCTTTTTGGGATCACTCTATGTTGTAGACCAGCGAGAAATACTCAGTCATGGCTTCTCTGCTGTAGATGCTCAAAGGATATTCTATGATTCTGTGTTCTTTTGGGGATCACTCCATGTTGTAGACCAGCGAGAAATACTCAAGTCATGGCTTCTCTGCTGTAGATGCTCAAAATTAGAGTCCCATTTCCAGATTCAATTCTGACAGCAAGCCTTTAATTTTGAGTGTTGTTTCATTTAGAAAGGAAAGTAGAAAAATCTTTCTAAAGTAGTCAGGTTGTTTATTTAAATTACTTTGAAACAAAACTGAGCTTGAGAGTCCAAGCTTTGAGGCTTCTGCCTCTGCTGTGGCTCCTGAAACTCAAAGGGTCCCATCTGCCTGTTTTCTGAGGGCTAGATGGACAGAGACCCAGGAATCTGGAAATTTGGAATGAGGGCTTGGGCAGGAATCTCAAGGTTTGGCAGTCTGAGCTCCTGTGCTTCTGGCTTTTATTGGGTGAAAGCCCAACTGTCCTGAGAGTCCCATTAGAAGTGAAGTTGTGAGTTTTTTCTGGCTCTCTGCTGCATCACTGGGGTGAGGGTTCCTGTGGCTTCAAGGCA